GTAACCAATTTATACTTGTGATCAATTAACTAAATTATAACGTTTTGTAATCAGCTTCTGTATAATCAAAAGGGCTCTTTGGCCATGAGGGTATCAGGGAAACTTGTCAAAGTGAACCAAGTATCTCAGCTAAAACCCATTCTTTCTAAGTGAGCCCAGGTTATGTCAGTTTTTGGCGGAACGCGAGGCTCACAGGATTGATCTACACTGCATATAATTTTGTAAATGATAGCATTAGTTGTGTGGATGCGGCACTGACGCAACCGGCTAACATTTTCCTTCTCCCTAGCTGTTAAACGTTGCATATATAATGAAACGACTCTCGTTGAAGTCAAAATTTGGCATTGGTGTTTGGCTAAAACTTACACATATGGAAATGGTATAGTGCAATAGGACTTAATTTTTTCCTGTCCAATAGACTGAAATTTCACGCAGGTACTCTCGTACTGACGAAGGGTGTTATTCATGCCCTGTTTAATTTCGTAAGTGGCCTTCAGTTATTTACTTGATTGAACTGTAGTGTAAATGTGCGTTTCCCCGTTTGTTGCCTTCTTTTTTCTCGTTTCTCCGTCGTAATTCGTAATCATTTACTGCGCAGTTTAATCAAGTAATGAATAGCCAACTGGACCTATTCCCAGCACTAGTAACCTTCAGTTTTAGATTTTTTAATCGAATGTGACCATATATGATGGCAGGTAAAGTAATTTGTGGTGGCGCCTGTTTATTCAAACTCATTCTTCTATACTTTGCAGACCGAGCTAACCGGAAATGCTCTTAACGCGAATGTGATCGACTCTTCGCTGCCTAGGAAGAACGGCCAGCCACCAGCCAGCTACACTTTGGCAGTGCCAGACCTGTGGGCTACATTTTCTCCCAGATGAATGCAACCAACTAGTCCGATCAAATAGGGAATTGCCATACCTCAGCCAACTACATGCGACATTTTTATTCCGTTCCCTACTTTCATTCGACGACACACCGTGTCCGTTTTGTTCACCTGTAATTCCCAAAACCTGTGGCGGTGATATACCATGCAGTTGTTGGTTTTGTGGCATGCCTGCCTTTTTTCAGCACTACGTAGCAACAGCGATGTAACTAAACCACGCTCCTTCATCGTACCCAGTTGCGTCTTTGTCGATTTGTGTGGGACTGTTTCGACGTAATCCTTTAGCGAGTGTTTAAAGGTGAAGTAAAACCTTTGAATCTCGTGCTTAATAGAGAACGATCGCGTTTATGTTTGATTCGCGTACATTTTTACGATTGACGTTTTCGGTGTATTCAGTATCAAGTTATGGTGTGCGTGTTTGATCGTAATATGATTATTTTACTTTTTAAATTACACCGCCATATCAATGTAAACCCCTGAATTTCTCTACTTCTTCAGCATGATGTGTTTATGTTTGCTTGTTCCTTAAGTTTCGTTCTGATCGAGCTTTTGTATTGGTATAGTATAGTATGCGAGTCTTTTCCCCTACTAGGGTGAATAATAGTACGCATGGACATTTACCCCCTTTTCCCGTATCTCAACACTTCCCCCCCCCCCCCCCCCTAAAAAAAGGAACTAAAAAAAATTTGATCTTCACTCCTAATATAACTTGCCCACGCAGCAATCGACTTCGAATGGCAGAGAACGGACTGCGAGGACAAGGGAACGGAGCTCTCGTTCCAGGGAGCCGAATTGCAGAGGCAACAATTGAAGATTGAGCAGGAGGGGAGGACAGACGGCGGTGCGACTTCTGCCTCCAATCTTATGGTGCCCACGGAACTACCAACACCAGGTATGAGAAGACGCTCACGGGACAACACTCATCCAGCCTCGCACTCTTTTAGCACACCCTCACAGATTCATGAACGGTCCCACACGGATAGAAAACCTTTTTGTAGGCTCGGTTTTCCAGAAGGTGGAAAACGTAAGTAGTCTGATGTGGTAGACAAAGTTTTCCCCACGTGGAGACTTCATTAAGTTTTAATTAGCGGCCTGCACCAAACCGAAAAGTTATACCACATACATATTATTTGATATCGGAGAAATGTACCATGCATGCTGAGTTGCTTATTTATATTACAAAATTGTATTTTTCCTTTAATATCGGTTGATCGAGTAGCTCTCACAAATGCTATAAATTTTTTTCGACGCATGAAATAGCCCAAAAGATGTTTGGCTGTTCCAAATGATTGAAGCTTTAAAAGTTTTGCCTGAGACTGGCAAATGTCAACCTCATTGTTGATATAGAACCGCGTTTTTCGCTGTTTCAAATCCCTCGTAAAATAATCGCTGTGTACCTTAGCGATTTTTCAAGTTTCTAAGCTACACAACGATTATTCTACGACCCCATTGAATGCTATTTTGTGTAACCCAATAATCTCTGAGTGTCTGAATGACCTGAATGAATGACCTGAGTGTCTGAATGACATGGGGCTGCCAGAGTCGAGTTTTAAACGATCGGCTGTAGACCTTTACAAGCATTACGATTAAACCTTTGTAACGTCGCAAATGAATGAATACCTACTTTAGGCGGTACCGGCATAATGTGGGTATTCAGGACCATGTTCATCTAGGTACTCAAAATTCCCATGTTCAGAACAACAAAAACAGCGCCGACATTTCTTGCTTTGTCCTGTCATCCCAACAGACCTGATCGAAGCATACTCTGGCGACAAAGTGGATACCTTCGACCGTGACAGCCGCAGGGGTGACACCTCTCCCCCCACCAACCCACAAAAGCAGCAAACGCACCGAAACCCGGACAAGCACCCGTGCCGCTTCTGTCCTCACTCAAGCTCTTCCGCAGCAAATGTCGCCATCCACGAGAGGACTCACACTGGCGAGAGACCCTTCAGTTGTGGTGCCTGCAAAAAAAACGTTCGCGCAGAAGGCTCACTTGATATCTCACGTTAAAATTCACACCGGAGAGAAGCCGTTCAAGTGCAACACGTGCAGCAGGGCGTTTAGTCATAAATGGAGCTTGGCGAATCACGAAAGAATTCATACAGGAGAGAAGCCGTACAGGTGCAACACGTGCAGCAGGGCGTTTACTCAGAGAAGCAGTTTGGCGGTTCATGAGACGACTCACACAGGAGAAAAGCCGTACAGGTGCGAGACCTGTAGTAGAGCGTTTACGACTAATAGCAATTTACACACTCATCGGAAGATACATCGCAAGTGATCGAAACAGCAACGTGCATCATAGTTGTGGAGGGGATTCAAGCGAAATACTCGAGCACCGACGTGTGTTCATTTCGTTTGGCGATAGACCTGCAGGAGTTCTACTTGCGAGCAGTGCAGGTTTCGAATGGTTCGAAAATATTTCAGCCTATTATGTATCATGTAAACACAGATTAGATATTGAATTTACCTTAGACGAAGCGACCAGAGTTCTTTTTGTACACAAAATAATAATTACTTGAAGCCTAGTATTTTTATTCATCTAGAGTCACTAATCTCGTGCTGCACCTGGAGTCTCTGGTTTGTCTGTAGGGCCACTTATTTTCCTTACCAGTCGGCCTACTCATGACCATGAATATTAAATACACAAATTATTAAAATAACTAACGACTTTCAATAGCAGCAATCTTGGATATTGCAAAAGTTAAGAAAGTATAACAAAAACAGAGTAATGCAGGGGTCAACACAATTTCAAGATGTAAAAATAAAATTATATTCCAAACTATTTAACACACCAAGCTGGAAACGAATGCTTTACTCATAAGACAGCAACCGAATATACATGACTCGAAGATTTAGAAATGCAGTGCTATTTCCTATCTCATTTGTTAATATTCTTCGTCTGTTTTTCATTTTGACCAGTGTCAGTACCTGTCATTCAATGTGCTTGCTACATGAAATACTTGTATATATGTCTTTCTTTTGGATGATTTTATTATTCTGTGTTTTTTTTCCACATTCATAAAAATGGTTGTGATCATTCAGGATATTCGTACTTTTATTGCTATTTATTTGGTATTCATCTAGTTTCACTGGGATTCGTCAAGCCGTTATTTCTTTGAACTTCTTTTTGTAGTAGACGGATCATATATATTTGTTTTACTAACGGCATAATTAACTCCATTGTGTATATTCATGTATTTAAACACTGTATAGGCATAATTCATCTAAATATGTCTTAGTCTACGCTGACTGTACAGTGGTTGTCACTATATCCCGATGCGCCAGAATCGCTGCAGGTGGAGTTCTATTCCAAAATGTATAAAATATTTGTTTTGACATAAAGAGGGTGTTTCCGAAAAAGCGGGCAAAATCGCTCCTGCAAACAAGCATCGCACAGAGAAAAGGTTGACGCCGTAGTGGTTTATGTCAAAGTAAAATTGTTAGAGTTCAATATAATTGGATAATTAATGAGTTCCGAGTTCTTAAAATATTAAATAATAGTTTACAAGGAATGGTTTCCATTGTAGTTTTGATCGGCATTATCGTGAACTATGTAATACCCCACGTTACAACTGTATGAGGCATTTGAAATTATGCCTTTAAGATCAATATTTAGCAATTCATTCAGTCAAAATTACTTACCCAAATAGATTGAACGCTAAAAATGTTTCTTTGATGGCAGGTGCAAAGGGCCAAAGCTGGCAGGGTGGTGGAAGCTACAAGCCCGTTGGACCACTCAAACGTCGATCTTTCCCCGCATGCCCACCCTGCGGCAAACGTGTAGCTCGCACCGCTCTGTCAGCTTCAAGGGGCCGTGCAACGATATTGAGTATTGGGCTTTCTGGCACTTGTGGGGCCCAAGCACTGGTGTTCCCGTTTCTGAGATTCTCCAGCGCAAGATTTCTCTCCACGCTTCGAGCAGAGACCCGTAAGGTCAATGATGTACTGCAGCTGTACTCTGTGCACCTTCATTAATCCGAGATCTACTGGTCTCATCTTCATACGCCTCAGCCCCTAACCAAGTTTTTATACTGACACCGTTTTCGGAATAAAACGTGTCAAATTCACGTGAACAGGATTTCAATCCCAGCAGAATATAGCAGGGGTTAAAATGGACGGTAAATCTCGTATACCGACACGCTGGGAAGTCTCTTAACATGACTTGTTTGGGGTGATCAGTACATAATCATCTCATTGAAGTGTAAAGCTTAATTGTACTCTTTTATGCCTCATTTGACATACCGGTTTCCAAATTTGGCACCCAGTTGCAGTATTGCTGAATATGAGTAGTGAAGGGCACAAACAAGTATTGTCGCCTTCCGTTCTTTACCGTTTATTAATCGTCGTCTTTCTAAACCTTGCAGATCAAACTGGGCGGGAATTTCGACACAGATGAGAACGACACTTCGCTGCTTTGCAAAGGTGGCCGTTCACCAGCCGAGTCCCTTTTCGGCGGTGCAAGGCCTTTGTGCTACATTTTATCTTTACACAAATGCGACAGAGCCAGTTCAAATGAGATGGGAACAGTTGAGCCTGCTGCGCGCGAACTTTTCATTGTCTGTCTTACCTTACTTTGCCGAACAACCGCCCTCACCCCTCTTCCTTTTCAAAGCCTAGCGGAGGCTTTCATCCAATTATTTATTTAAACTGTATAATTCCTCTAAGTATGCCTTAATGCGGGAAGACTGAATAGTGTCTTACTTTTGTTTTATTTTGTCAAAATGTCCGGAGGTGGTGTCTTATTTTTAAAACTGTGAAACAATGTGTGCCATGTGCGCGTTCTGTTTTTTGTTTGCGGAAGTAATGGCAGATCTACACATTTCTTACTGCCATGCTTACAAACCACAGGTGCTTAAAACATTGGCGACTACATATAACCGGCAGAGAAGCGGCCGGCCATCGGCAGTCAGAAGATGGTGGTTCACAAGCCCCTCCGGTCGTAAGCGGTTGCAAGTGTGTCAACTGCCAAAATTGGTTCCCTTATCTCAGTACTCTCATATTGGGCCTACCAAAACTCTCCGCAGACGTGTTAGAAGCGCGCATATATGAGTGCTTCGAACATGTCTACAAACAGTTTTGGTAGGCCCAATATGAGAAGACAAGAAAAAAAAAACTCGTCTCAGACGGTGTTTGCACACTGTCTTTTGTTTGGTGTTCGAGCAGTGTTACCTGGACTTTGCGGAGCGAGTCAAGAAAACGCCAGGAGATGATTAGTCTGCTAACGTAAGTGAACAATAGAATTCGTCTGGTACGAAGCGTCATTCGCAGACAAAAATAGAACAACAAAATACTTTATTCCGTTACCGGACCGGAATAAAGGCAGCCCTCTGGTAAATTGCGAGTACCGTGACGAAGTGATACTACGGGACGCAAGCTGAAACTATAATGGTCTGCTATACTTCCCGTTTGATGCGATCGACAACGGGCGCTCCCTCTGCAAATCTCAAGCTCTGCTGCCGTACAGAGCTCAAATTCTCCTATGTACACTCGGCACAAATATTACTGCGAAACTCCTGTCACCATCCGTGTGTTAATGAGAAGTTCTCACCAAAAGAACTCGGAAACCAACTTAAGATATATCATTCATCGATAACTCTCGCCCAGTAAAACGTTGGGACATCACGTTCAATCAGCACCCGAGAATTCTATCGCTCTCACCATGGACCAAACACCTACCGCAAAAACTGGTTTTGAAAAGAAGGACGTTATCTTGTACTCTAGATGGTAAAGCAAGCCTGAACAAAATCTAATAATCGCCATCTTCCAGCCTGAACCATTCCCCCAACACGGTCCGGGAGGGCGTTGCAGAGGAGATCGATAGAACGTGTTGAAAACGCGGCCGAAAGATTCTATTATGACTTTACGACTAGTCGGAGGCTTTGCGTGTTTTCTCGCGTTTGGTTGCATTTTCGGAGGAAACGAACGCAATATTCAGATTTACTGAATAAAACTACGCTGGAATTAACCTCTATCTCATATTTTTCTACAAGTGTTTCAGATTCTTTTTAATGGGGACGAAGCAGAGGGGAATGCCACTCTAAGCTCGTCTTGAGTGAGAAGAAATGGGAAAAAAGATACTTGTCTCGCAATAGGGACTGTAAACTCTATACTGGTGATGAATGGTAATCAATTTATACTAGTGATCAATTTACCAAATTATAACATTTCGTAATCAACTTCTGGGTGATCTAAAGGGCTTTTTAGCAATGCGAGTCTCTGAGAAACTCGTGAACGTGAACAAAGTATCGAACTAAAACCCATTTTTCCCAAGTGAGCCCCGCTTGTGTTAGTTTTTGGCAAAACGCGAGTCTGATTGATTAATCTACACTTCATTTCATTTTATTAATGATAACATCAGTCGCGTGGATGCAGCACTGACGCAACAGGCTAACATTTTCCTTCCCCCTAGCTTTTAAACGTTGCATATATAATGAAACATTTATCGCTGAAATTTAAAATTTGCCGTTGGTATTTGACTAAAACATACACACTTGGAAATGGTATAGTCCCATGGGACTTAATATTTTCGTGTCCTTCAGATTGAAATTTCGCGCAGGTACTCTCGTACTGACAAAGCGTGCTGTTATCCACACCGCGTTGAATTTCGAAAGTGGCCTTCAGTTCTTGACTTGATCAAACTGAACTGCAGATGCGCGTTTTCCCTTTTTGTTGCCTTTTTTTCTTCTCGTTTCTGCGTCGTAATTCGTAATCATTTACTCCGCAGTTTAATCATGTAATGAATAGCCAACTAGACCGATTTCAAGCACTGGTGCCCTTCAGTTTTAGATTTGCTCATCGAATGTGACGATATCTGATGGCAGGTAAAGTATTTTGTGTTGGCGCCTGTTTATTAATACTCATGCTTCTATAGTTTGCAGGCCGAGGTAACCGGAAATGCTTTTAACGCAAATCTGAGCGACCCTTCACTGCCTAGGAAGGAGGGCCAGCCACCAGCCAGCTACACTTTGCCAGTGCCAGACCTGCGGGCAACATTTTCCCCCAGATGAATGGAACCAACTAGTCGGATCAAATAGGGAATGGCCGCAGCTCAGCCAACTACATGCGACATTTTTATTCTCTTCCCTACCTTCATTCGCCGACACACCGTGTCCGTTTTGTTAACGTGTAATTCCCAAAGCCTGTGGCGGTGATATACTGTGCAGTTGTTGGTTTTGTGGCATGCCTGCCTTTTTTCAGCACTACAGAGCAGGAGCGATGTAACCAAACCACGCTCCTTTATCGTACCCAGTTGTGTCTTTGTCGATTTGTGTGGGACTGTATCGACGTAATCCTTTAACACGTGTTTAAAGGTGAAGTAAAACCTTTGAATCTCGTGCTTAATAGAGAAGGATCGCGTTTATGTTTGATTCGCGTACATTTTTACGATTGACGTTTTCGGTGTATTCAGTATCAAGTTATGGTGTGCGTGTTTGATCGTAATATGATTATTTTACTTTTTTAAATTACACCGCCATATCAATGAAAACCCCTGAATTTCTCTACTTCATCAGCATAATGTGTTTATGTTTGCTTGTTCCTTAAGTTTCGTTCTGATCGAGCTTTTGTATTGTTATAGTATTAAAAAAAGGAACTAAAAAAAATTTGATCTTCACTCCTAATAGAACTTGCCCACGCAGCATTCGACTCCAAATGGCAGAGAACCGACTGCGAGGACAAGGGGGCGGAGCTCTCCTTCCAGGGAGCCGAATTGCAGAGGCAACCATTGAAGATGGACCAGGAGGGGAGGACAGACGGCGGTGCGACTTCTGCCGCCAATCTTATGGTGCCCACGGAACTAACAACACCAGGTACGAGAAGACGCAAACGGGAGAACACTCATCCAGCTTCGCACCCCCTTAGCACACCCTCATAGATTCATGAACAGTCCCACACGCATAGAAAACCTTTTTGTAGGCTCGGTTTTCCAGAAGATGGAAAACGTAAGCAATCTGATGTGGTACACAAAGTTTTCCCCACGTAGAAACTTCATTAAGTTTTAATTAGCGGCCTGCACCAAGCCGAAAAATTATACCGCATACATAGTATTTGATATCAGAGAAATGTACCATGCTGAGTTGTTTATATTACAAAATTGTATTTTCTGCTTCAGTTCCGGTTGATCGAGTAGCTTTCACAAATGCTATAAATAATTTTCGACGCATGAAATAGCCCTAAACATGTTCGGCTGTTCCAAATGATTGAAGCTTTAGAACAGGGGTAGCCAAGATGCGGCTCTTCGTGTGTTAAAGTGTGGCTCGCAACTCCACCCTACCCCCCCCCCCCCCCCCTCCCCGTTACCACGAACACTTCCTCACAAAGTGAAATGGAAGTTTAGCTTTAGACTGGCAAATGTCCACATCATTGTCGGTATAGAACCGCGTTTTTCGCTGTTTCAAATCGCAAATAAAATAACCGCTGCGTACCTTGGCGATTTTTCAAGTTTCTAAGGTACACAACGATTATTCCACGAGCTTATTGATTGGTTAGCAGAACGTGCAAGCCACCACAGCTGCAGCACCATGGGGCTGCCAGAGTCGAGTCTTTAACGGTCGCCTGTAGACCTTCACAAGCATCGCGAATGAACCTTTGTAACGTCGCAAATGAATGAATACCTACTTTAGGCCGCACGGCATAATGTAGGTATCCTGGACCATGTTCATCTAGGTACTCAAAATTCATGTTCAGAACAATAAAAGCAGCGCCGACTTTTCCTGCTCTGTCCTGTCATCCCAACCATAGAGATCGTACATAGTAACTCTAGAGGAAAAGGTCCGCCATTTTCCCATGCATTCTGGCTGCCGCAAGTGGCGGAGCATGCAGCCCCACACATTGTTACCGACTGCCTCCGATTTCACACATATAATTATATCATCAGAGCAGTTTCATGAACTTCAACAATCCGCAAACTTACCGGTGGAAAGATATCCGCGTTCCTTTCAAAGCTTCCTTTTTGCATAGCGCGCAGATGTACGGCCTCCCGTCAAAACTGAACTAAACCAGGTAACCGTCCTCGCGGACGGGGCGCGAGTGGGCGCGCCCATAGAGTTCTTATAATGTACGCTAGAGGTTCAACTGGCGCTAGTGTCTATGCGACTTCCGTGACGCAAATTGAAGCAGACAGCAACCAGTCTGCTTTTCCAGTCTTCCTGTGTATTCCTAAGAGAAAGCGCGCGTGCATTTTGTCTCTTCGCCGGAAAATAACACGGAACACTTTGGTCATTTGGGTCGTACCGAATAGTATGTACTTTGAATAACACTGTAAAAGTGTAATTGCTTTAGTTAGCGCATTTTTCTTCATCAGTGACCGATGTTTAACTTCGCGGAACGTGTGTTCCGCAGCAGGTGTGTAAAAACAAGCGACGATTCGAAGCAAAATTACAATCGAAAGGAATGTAGAGTGTGTTCAAGGCTCGCCAGCAATCCAGTGACGCTTATATATTGATAATATGCCAGTCCTGTCACTATATAAAAATGACCCCGTCGTGCATGAGCGGATAAAAACATTCAAAACGTAGAGAATAAAGTTCGTGGGCTATAAAAGTTTTCTCTTCGTATTGCTTTCTCTGCCAGGCAGCTTTTATGGGGCACTTGTTCTCAAAGATTTCGAGCGTGCGAGTGATATTTTGAACGTAGAACAAGCAGCTTCGCTCAGAGCAAAGAATAAAACGGTACTTACTTATTTAAAATAGGAATAGATTACGTGGCCTTCAATTAATTGTGATCGTATATGCACGTGTAGTCACTGATCCGGTGTTACTGCGTAGTTCTTGCCGTCTTTCTTAATTTCCAGTTCTTCTTCGTTCGTTTGGCACGTATATCCCCCACGCTGAAAAGCGCCGACGTCGTGTTCGCGCTAACAGTGTCCGACAGTGCACATAAATACACGTACGAAGCTGTTTTAGAACCGTCTTAAATGCGATGAATTTGAAAGAAAAACGCCGTAACTGACCAATTATTTCGTCGGCCTGACTTAGAAATGTTCCAAGCTACCTAGTACGTACGAAGTATTCGGGATATTTGCTCTTATGATCGAGCGCAGAGAGAAAATGCACTCACTTTTTCCCATAGAAATGCATTACCGGAAGTCAATTTTCGACTGGTTGCTGTCTGCTTCAATTTGCGTCAGCACACTAGCGCCACTTGAACCTCTAGCGTACATTATAATAACTCTATGGGCGCGCCCCAGGAATACGAAACCGAGCAAACACCATATTTTCGAGATTTCAACAGAAGGGAAGTTAATGCAGCGTAATGAGTGCACTGCTTTCTATAAGCGTTAGAATAGCTCAGAATTCAGTTTACAACCTTAAATTATCACTGTTTATATTGCTGAGTGTTTTCAGTCTTCGCGATTACCATTGGCGACTGTGGTCCTTCAGCTGGCAACATTGGTTTCTTTCTCTCGTGTTCTGTCGCTCTCTTTCGCGTCTTTCACTCGGGACCCAGGATGTCGGCGCACGGGTTTTGCCACTCCTCCTCACCCACCTTTAACCCCCTGATCCCAACAGACTTGATCGAAGCATACTCTGGCGACAAAGTGGATACCTTCGACCGTGACAGCCGCAGGATTGACACCTCTACCCAGACCAACAATTCAGGCCCACTCAAGCAGCAAACGCACCGACGACCGGACAAGCACCCGTGCCGCTTCTGTCCTTACTCATGCTCTTCTGCAGCGGATGTCGCCGTCCACGAGAGGACACACACTGGCGAGAGGCCCTTCAGTTGCGATGCCTGCAAGAAAACGTTCGTGCGGAAGTCTCACTTGACAGCTCACGATAGAATTCATACCGGAGAGAAGCCGTTCAAGTGCAACACGTGCAGCAGGGCGTTTACTCAGAGAACCAGTTTGGCGGTTCATGAGAGGACTCACACAGGAGAAAAGCCGTACAGGTGCGAGACCTGCAGTAGAGCGTTTGCGGCTTATTGCAATTTACACACTCATAGGAAGATACATCGCAAGTGATCGAAGCAGCAACGTGCATCACAGTTGTGGAGGGGGTTTAAACGAAATACTCGAGCACCGACGTATGTTCATTTCGTTTGGCGATAGACCTGCAGGAGTTCTACTCGTGAGCAGTGCAGTTTTCGAATGGTTCGAAAATATTTCAGTCTATTATGTATCCTGCAAGCACAGATTAAATTGTGAATTTACCTTAGACGAAGCGACCCTGATTCTTTTTTGTACTCGAAAAAATAATTACTTGAAGCCTAGTATTTTTATTCATCTAGAGTCATTAATCTCGTGCTGCACCTGGAGTCTCTGGGTTCTCTGTAGGGCCACTTGTGTTCCTTACCAGTTGGCCTACTGATGACCATAAATATACTAATTAATGAAATAACTAATGTCTTTCAATAGCAGCAATCTTGGATATTGCAAGAGTTAAGAAAGTTTTAAGATGTAAAAATAAAATTATATTCCAAATTATTTCACACACCAAGCTGGAAACGAATGCTTTACTCATAAGACAGCAACAGAATATACATGACTCGAAGATTTAGAAATGCAGTGCTATTTCCTATCTCATTTCTTAATATTCTTCGTCCTTTTTTTTTTCATTTTGACCGGTGCCAGTTGCTGAATTCCCATGACATCATTCAATGTGCTTGCTACATGAAATACTTGTATGTATGTCTTTCTTTTGCGTGATTTTATTATTCTGTTTGTTTTTTCACGTTCATGAAAACGGTTTTGATGATTTAGGATATTCGTACTTTTAGTGCTATTTATTTGGTATTCATGTAATTTCACTGGGATTCGTCAGGCCCTTATTTATTTGAGCTTCTTTTTGTAGTAGACGGATCATATATATTTGTTTTACTAAAGGCGTAATTAACTCCACTGTGTATAATCATGTATTTAAACACTGTATCGGCGTAATTCATCTAAATATGTCTTAATCTACGCTGACTGTACAGTGGTTGTCATTATATCCTGATGCGCCAGAATCGCTGCAAGTGGAGTTCTATTCCAAAATGTATAAAATATTTGTTTTGACATAAAGAGCGTGTTTCCGGGGAAACGGGCAAACTCGTTACTGCAAAAACTACTCATCTCACAATAAAGAAGCCTGATGCCGTAGTGGTCTGTGTCAAAGTGATATTGTTAGAGTTCAATATAATTGGATAATTAATGAATTCCGAGTTCTTAAAATATTAAATAATAGTTTTAAAGGCATGGTTTCCATTATAGTGTCGTTCGGCATCGTCGTGAACGACTTAATACACCCACGTTACAATGGTATGAGGCACTTGAAACGAGTCAAAATTACTTACCCAAATAGATTTAAAGCTAAAATGTTTCTTTGATGGCAGGTACAAAGGGCCAAAGCTGGCAGGGTGGTGGAAGCTACGAGCCCGTTGAACCACTCAAACGTCGATCTTTCGCCGCATGCCCACCCTGCCAGCCAGTGGCGTACACAGGGGGGGGGCCGAAGGGGCCGCGCCCCCCCCCCCCCCCCGAAATTTCTGAGCGGGGGGGGGGGGGAGGGGGGGGGCGGGGAGTGGGGAGTGGGCGAGGTCACTGACTCTCGGCTTCATCAATATCAAAACGGTGTTGTATATTTTTTTTTACAACAGCGGAGCCAACTTTGTGAAGTTGTAAAAAAAAAAGGGAGGGAACGCACTATGCCATTTAGGGCATAGTAAGAATAATATATATATATATTAGTATAATCGGCCGCATATCCCATTTGCTAAGTAAATTGTGAGCTATATGCTGCGCTGCGTAGCGTTACTCAGGAAAGAAAATATATTTGTTTACTTCGACTTTTATTGCTTCGCGAGTCCCTCTCGTGGAGTCGCCAGGGCTGGTTTGTCGTCGCCACAGAGCGGCCCCGTGTCCCCCTTAATTGTTCCTCGAGGACCCCCGCTCTGGGTGCGTACCATGCGCTTTGCCTTGCTCGAGCAAAGCGGGGCCCCACGAAGTTTTGTAGCCTTGTTTTTTGTGTTTTTTTTTTTATTTTGAGAAGAAGCATCGGTACTCGTCTTGCACCCCGACGAGGGGTTTTTCTTGGAAGCGGTGTCCGGCGACAGTTAGGGCGAAGGTTTTTGGGACTTTTCGGGGGTATGTGCACGTGTCCTTTCTTAATTGGATTTTGTATTGTATACGTTTGTTTTGTACCGCGTGGCTCCCATTGGTCCAAAAAAGAGCGATATCCGATTGGCTCCTCGGACAATGAGCGACACGGTTCGATCTCGAGTCAAATAGTTTCCGCGTTTCTTAGTGAAACTTCAAGGAGTGTGCGCACTGAGAGATAGTGACTTTCGTGGCCACATGGCAACGAAAAGAACATTGCTGGATGTTTGGCTAGGAGAGCCCAAGAAAGCGGCTGTTGAGAAGGAAAAACCACCGGAAGTGTTGGAAAGCATCGGGAACGCATCAGTGGACCATCTCAAACCAAGAAGCACCGAGAAACCCCATGAATCCGGTAGGCACAATTCTTATACATAGTTCTCACAGACGTCAGCGCCATTACCAGGTACTGACATAATGTTGGTTTTGGGACTGGTGCCGGCAACGTTGGCCGCTACTGCGTTGGCTGCGTCTCTACGACGTTTGCAGAGCACACAGTGCACGTTTCTTTCTTCTGGTGTGCGGTCGCAGTGGTGCAGTCATGCCGCTGTGCGCGATGTCTCGTCCCCCCCCCCTCCACCCCCCCCCCCCCCCACACACACACGCACACATTTAATATATAGCGAGGTCCACTCCTAGAGGGAACACGCGGGCGCACGTGGCCTGCGGATGTTCGGCGCAGACCCACTGAACTCCAGAGGCCGTGCTTACTCGGCGTCGCCTGCTAGCGCGGCCCGGCTGACCAGCTGGAGACGCAATGAGCGCCAGGTGCACTGCATGCCGCCTGACATCCGTGTTGACTGCTACTGGACTCGGAGCCCAGCATCAGTATGGCACGGAGCGCCAGAAATGCGTTAGTGTGTTCCGTACAATTCCGTGCTCGCTGCGAAACGGAGAAGATATATATTGTTACAACTACTTCGTTATCACCTCGTTTATTTTGTGGTCAACAACGCAGTAATTGTGAATATATCCAGAAAACGTATATTCACAACAACGCAGTGGTTGCCTATCTATCTAGAAAACGTCAGTCTCGTAATGAAAGCCCAGTGGACTACAAGCGTAGCCTCGTTTTTCTATTATTTTATGACGTGTTGACCTCCAAAAACGTATGCAACCAGCCCTAGCCAATGAGGCTTTTATTTCAAAACTTAGTGCTTCTTTTTCGACCCACCTTGTCACCCAACCGCAACAATGTATTTTTGTCTTTCTGTTAAATACTGCTCCCAGAAATGAACCGCAGTTCGTACTTCGACCATGTTAATCTTCGTCAATTTCCTCTTTAAAACGGAGGCAGGCGAATCATGTGCGTTGATTAAATTACCATGAAGTTAAAATAGCAATATTTGACTATTTTTCTTACAAAAAATATCCTGCAGGATCGTTGGACACTCCCAGCCTCGCTTCAGGGGATAAACTCGACATCGGCTGTTACTGCGAGACCAGATGCAAGGGCCTAGACGACTCAGTGAAACGCGATCTGCTTACTAAGCCATGGGCCCCAGACAGCGATTACAAACTTCCTGCTGTCCAATCTGGAAAGGGCTGGAAAAGGAAGTTTCAGATGAGCTGGCTGCAAAGATGGCCTTGGTTGACTTACTCGCACGTCCGCTCTGCAGTTTTCTGTCGAAGTTGCGTGCTTTTAGGTCAGGGGACCCTAGGCAAAGGAGATCACGTCAAGCCTGGCGCACTTATAACGGCGCCTTTCACAAACTGGAAGAAGGCCATCGAAGTGTTCAGTGCCCACCAAACAAGTAAGCACCACATGGACGCTCAGGTGTCCGTAGACAACTTTCTTCAAACTACATCTGGAAGCAGGCCGAACATCTTGAGCCAGATCGACAACCAAAGAAGACAAGCGGTTGAGAACAACCGCAAGAGACTTGTGCCTGTGATAGACACCATCATCTGCGGAAGGCAAGGCATTGCACTGAGAGGCCATAATGACTCGGGACCTTTGATGCTCGACAAAGACCCAGAAGAAAACGATGGCAACTTCCGAGCTTTGCTACGGATGAGGGGGAAATGTGGGGATGCCTCCCTTCAAACTCACTTCTCCACGGCCTCAGCGAACGCAACGTACATCAGTCCTCGTACTCAGAACGAGCTAATTGGCATTTGCGGAAATATTATACAAGACAGCATCGTCAAGAGGGTCAACGAGGCCAAGGCCTTTAGCGTACTGGCTGACGAAACGATGGATATCGGTGGTCTGGAGCAAATGTCCGTGTGTGTCCGATACGTGCAAGATGATGAGGTTCGTGAAGAGTTCCTTGGATACGCTCAAGTGCATGATCTCAGCGGTAGGGCACTGGCAAAAGAAATCATCAAGTTCCTGAGCGGCGTGGGAATTAATCTGCGATACCTGAGAGGCCAGGGCTACGATGGGGCCGCGGCAATGTCAGGACGGCTGAACGGGGTCCAAGCTGCGGTACTGGAGGAGCACCCATCGGCATTGTTTCTGCACTGCGCAAGTCACTGTCTCAACCTTGTGCTATGTGATGCAGCCACAGTTCCCGATATAAGGAACTGCATGAGCACGGTCAGAGAGATTTGCTCATTTTTCCGGGGCTCTCCAATCAGAAGTAAAGTATTGGTAGACAAGGTTGGACTTCTTTGCCCGGAGTCCCGGAAGAGGCGCCTTGTGTCGCTTTGTGAGACGAGATGGGTGGAGAGACATGATTGCATATTGGCAATCATCGAGCTGCTGGAACCCATTGCTGCTGCTCTCCAGCAGTTGGACGAGAGTGGAGCTTCAGACAACGCATCTCGGGCACATATGCTTTTGCTTTCAGCATCATCCAGTGCCTTTCTAATCAGCCTGCACACAGCGGCTAAGGCTCTTGCGTTGACACTTCCCCTGTCAAAGGCCCTGCAAGCTGTATCAATCG